TCATTGTCTTTGTTCACTCTTTCTGATAATCTAGCTTTCACACCCATATGTTGCAACTGGGAGAACTCTGGCCTTGGCAATATTTATCCTCGCTGTCAGTGGGAAGTCTCTGCAATATATTAGTTTTCCTACATCCATCATCCTCTTTCTCCCAAGTAATATCCCAAAGGTGCTTTTTCAAAAGGCAACTGGACTTTGTTTTTCTTTGAAGACGTTTTGCTTCTCATCCAAGAAGCTTCTTCAGTTCTGACACTTCTTGGGTGAGAGGTGAAACATCTTCAAGGAAAAACAAAGTCCAGTTACCTTTTGAAAAATCATGTTTGGCACATGGCCTGGATGACTGAGAATCTCCGTAGATACTCCCAAGTAGTAGATATTTCTACACTCATTGCCACCATCATCCCTATGAAAGTTTGAGCCTAGGAAGAGAATGTCAATTAAGATAGAAAAATGGGGGTTAGACAGCATCACCACCAGATGGATCCATAGCTAGCTGACCGGCCGTATTCAGCGTGTGGTCCTCAATGGCACCGCATCTACATGGAGGGAAGTGTGTAGTGGGGTGCCCCAAGGCTCTGTTCTGGGCCCAGTGCTCTTCAACATCTTCATCAATGATCTGGACGAGGGGATAGATGGGGAACTCATCAAATTTGCAGACAACACCAAGCTGGCAGGAATAGCCAACATCCCAGAAGACAGGCTTAGGATACAGGAGGATCTGGACAGACTTGAACACTGGGCGCTATCTAACAAAATGAAATTCAATGGTGAAAAAAGTAAGGTTCTACATTTAGGCAAGAAAAACCAAATGTACAGGTATAGTATAGGGGGTACCTTGCTCAATAGTAGTAACTGTGAGAGGGACCTCGGAGTCCTAGAGGACAATCACTTAAATATGAGCCAGCAGTGTGCTGCAGCTGCCAAAAAGGCTAACACAGTGCTGGGCTGCATTAACAGAGGGATAGAATCAAGATCACGTGAAGTATTAATACCACTTTACAATGCCTTGATAAGGCCACACTTGGAATACTGCATCCAGTTTTGGTCACTACGATGTAAAAAAGATGTTGACACTCTAGAAAGAGTACAGAGAAGAGCAACAAAGATGATTAGGGGACTGGAGGCCAAAGCATATAAGGAAAGGCTGCTGGAATTGGGTATGTCTAGTTTAATGAAGAGAAGGACGAGGGGGGACATGATAGCAGTATTCCAATATCTCAGGGGCTGCCACAAAGAAG